CTGTTACTCCAAAAATGGGAAACTCTATAGGATATTTGAAATTCATATACCAGCAACATTGCTGGTAGGAGAGTGGGTCACCGGCAGCTTTCCCTAAGATTTATTTTATTTTGTACACTAATACACATGTATATAATAGTATATTATTAATCTGTAAATTAATTATAAATGAAAAAGTGGCCAAATATGGTTAAAATCACAAAACAAGCATGTTTATTCCTGAGCAGTCCAGGAATATTTTTTTAAAAAGATTATTTCGATGGCATGCTCCGTGTTTTATTTGTACTTTTTAAATTTATTGCAATTTTAAGAGTTCAAAGCATTAAAGTTTAAGTTTTTTCATTAAAATTTTAGAGAGCTTTTAATAAAAACTATTTGATTATAAAGACCTTTTATCAATAAATCTCATTTTTACCTTCCTTTATTTAACACAAGGATTCATATCCTGTTTTAACATCAAACTTAAAAAAGTTATTAGAAGCATAAGCGTGAGCACCAGTGGAACCATAACAAGCTACTTTCAGAGAGGTCTTACAGAACAACAACCATCAGGAACCTTATATAGCCAGCCATTGCAGTACCTGGCATATGAAGATGGCATAGCGCCACTGGATATAAACAATTATGACATAATTAAAGCATTCAGGGAACTTGAAAAGGGCTCAATCAAAGCTGGTCTTGACGTAAATGAACCGAAGACAAAATATATGATAATGTCACAAAACTCCCATGCATATGATAACATCAATATAAACAACAACAAATTTGAGAGAGTGGCTACATTCAAATATCTAGGGGCAACTATAAATGAGCACAATGAAATAATGTCGGAGATGAAAGAAAGGATAGCAGCAGGCAACCGTTCCTATTTCAACCTACAAAAGCTACTGGGAGGAAAAAACCTATCAAAGGGAACAAAAAAGACAATATACACTAGTATGATAAAATCAGCATTAACTTACGCTAGTTAGAGTTGGACCCTTACCAAAAAAGCAGAGAACCTTCTCAATACATGGGAGAGGAAAATATTCGGCCCAATGATGGAAAATAATATCTGGAGAATCCATACAAACCAAGAATTATACCAATTGTACAAAGTCACAACAATAAAAAAAAAGGCAAACTGCGCTGGGCAGGATATATTGAAAGGATGCCGAAATGTAGAGCAGCAAAGATGATATGCAGGCAGAGACCTAATTCTAGGGGCAGACGACTCGCTGCTCGCCCAAGGTTGAGATGGATCAACAATGTGGAGAGGAATTTACACCAGTTGGGGGTTCCCGCATGAAGGCGGAAGGCCATGGATCGATCCGTATGGAAGGATGTGGTGGAGCAGGCCAGCGCCCTACATGGGCTGTAGCGCCACTGATGATGATTTATCAAATAAGAAATTTTTCTATATAAAAAATCAATCCGGTCAAGATTCTAAACTAATATTTATATGAAGATTTAAAATAAAACTTGAAATGCTTTTTAATATTATAAGTATCTAAAGCACCTTGAAAGAGTTAAAGTTTTTCATTAAACAAAAAATTTATTTACATTCTTGAAGGCTAAAGTCATGAAAGCCCAACATTGGCTTTTTCATTGAGATTTCTTCTTAAGGGATCAAGCTGGAAGAATCTAAATGGCAATAGCAAATTAGTGACACATGCAGTAAGTTCATTCCCTTTAATTGGGAAACGTTCATCTGAATTAATATATTATGCTAAGTTTACAAAGACTACGCAGGTAAATTACAGGTAAATTTGACTAGATTTTATAAGATTGATGATAAACAATGGAAAAAGTTGTCAACAGAAATTCATGAAATTATTCCTGCCCTGGTTTTATTATTATTAGTAAAATATTAGACACAGACGGGTGGACTGAGACGAATTAGGCTGCAGCCGCTTCAACTTAATACAATTAAATTTGTGAATTAAATATATAAATATCAGGGTTTCATAAACTGAGCTGTTAAATTTTCTTCAATCAATGTTAAAGATTTGTAGATCCAAGTAATCAGTTTGTTTTTCTCAAAGTAATTCTTTTTCCTGATTTTCCCACAGATGAACCTTGAAATTAAGACTTAGGCCTTTGCCCCTTTTAAAAAATACATTTCAAATTATTCCTAATCAGCAGTAGTATTATCATCATGGATTTACTTACACCACTGATGAGGGGCTACACATAAATGACATCACATATCTAGGGAGGAGGAGGTTTACGATTGTGTGATGATCTATGGGGTGTGTCCAAAATATTGTAAGACAGCATGGCTTCCTCATGGACAACACCTAAGTTTTTAAAATTGGGTTGGTTCCGAAAGCATGTTTTTTTTTCTTTCTAAACTCAATTCCAGTAAGTTAAGCAGGCTAATTAAGACAGATCCATAATATTTTTAAAAAAATGTATTGTCTTAATCGGAATAATTTCTTTTCTTTCAATTCACTGTATCACCATCTGAATCCATGTTTACTAATGACTTATGTAATTTACGCCCTGAAAATTGTGATGCTCCGGTTCAAGTGCTATATTTTTAACTATTAACTGTTGGAATTTTTTTGATGACATTGAAAATTTTCATTTCAGCACATATTTAACACAAAAAAAATGTTAAGATTAGGGTAAATTTTATTGTTTATATTAATGCCACGAAAATGATTGCGGAACACGAACTGTTGCAATATGAAGGGTAATGATTTGAGTTTGAGGCTGTTGCCAAACCATCTTTTCAGTTTCCGATTTGAACGCATCCACATATTTTCAACATTCTGAATGTCAACACTACCATCATTAGGATCTACAGAATTTTGTTGATGGATCACAATTGAGTATTGGTAGATTCTGTGTCTGATCTATTTTATGTATGCATAAGCCGCCCATCATTCATCTGATACAATATGTTAGTGAGCCTGGAAGGATATCTCTATCCACTCCTGTAACTTATCATACATGGGTCTGGCACTAGTCTACAAGAAAACAGGGTAAATTCAGAGAACGCGGCCCGCATTTATTTCCATGCGCGCACTTTTACATCTTAAATCCATCCCTATGCCTAACCTGAACCCTAAATCGATCCCTATGCCTAACCGGAACCCTAAATCTATCCCTAAGCCTAACCCAAACCCTAAATCAATTCCTATGCCAAACCTTAACAAAGTCAACGTGGGCCGCTAAATCTGAAACGGCCGAAAACAGAACTCTTTTTATGCCATTGATAGCCCAAATGCCCTCTCTCCACAGTACTAGTAACGGCATCAATGAAAGAATAACTGTTTAACACTTAGTCACTTAGCCTAAGCACTTCAAACTAGAACACATTTTCTTTTTTATAACCTACACCTACGCTGAAGTGGTAAAATTACCCGTTTTAAGTTAAAATATTTTTTAAATTGAATATGGTGGTTTAACTTCCTGACACTGAAGCAAGGTTGAACCTGAAAAAAGGAACCCAACACTCTTCCCTATTTAATTTTAATCTCTCACTTTCACCTACTTATTTTTATTTTCTGTCACAATTCTTTTGCTGCCCTCTTGGATACTTCTTTTCTATATTTTTAAATTTTATTCTGTTTTTTCCTATTTTTTGTTGACAGACGAAGGTTTCCTGCCGATACGTTCGTTGTTTTGTTGCGTTCCTTTTTTCAGGTTTAAATTAACCTTACTTTGAAAGTTTGTTTCAGGGCCTACTCATTTCCAATGTGCTAACCTGATTGCCGATTGCAGTCTACTGACAGTACTGAACTGATGACACCGACAATCATAACAATTAAACAATGCCAACTACATTTCTAAAGTCTACTAAGTCTAATCTTTTTTTCAGTTTTGTTTAAAATATACTGATAAAATGATGTATTTACTCTTAAGTTCTTTGTAATACTTCAGTCATGACTGCAGCTAGACTTGGACTTCAGCAAAGTTAATAAGCTCGTGTAAAACGAAGATAACGTGTTGGGCTAATCGTACTGCGCATGTCCTAAAAATATTTTTCGACAATATGGCGTACGGCGACACGGTATCATTGGAAGATTGCATACTACGTCACATTCGTCCCTTCAATCAGGCCTGCACAACATACGGTCCGCGGGCCGCATGCGGCCCGCCAGAACACACTTTGTGGCCCTCAAAGTTAGGAAATATTCTTTATTTTAATTATGTTCTTAATAACTTCCCCACTCTCCTATTTTATTTTAGCCCGCTGAAGTTTTTCATGAGTATTACGGCCCCCTTATATTTTGAGTTGTGCAGACCTTTCTTAAACAATTGCATTACTTTTCTATCAGTGACATATCAGTATCATTTTTAATTTCCGGTGATTTTATGAAATTTATGTTACCGGTACGAGTTTTTGTGTGTTGCATTTAATTTTATTAAGTTAAAAAATTTTGTATACCGGTACCAATTTCATCCGTTCTCTTCTTAGTCATTCCATAGTATCAATGACTAGTCATTTAATAATAGTAATAGTGAAAGCAAATTTTTTTAAAGTTTTTCTGTTATTAATGACTTTTCATATGGGATAATAATAAATATCACTAACATTATGCCTATATATAAGTTATAACAACAGTTATTAAAATCATATAGCCTTTACTCCATTTAGGTATTCTAATTATAAATTTTAATTAATTTTAAAGTTAATTTAATGGTTAAAATTGGTTATCTACCACTGGAGCATCAGCAACGAAAAAAATCCAGTTGTTCCAGTTTGAGAAGTGCTAGTGAAACAATAATAATTATATTTTAGTAAGACATTGTATCTAAATGACAGTATAGCCCTTTCAAAAAGAAAATTTGAAGAAAATTTGATCATGTGAACTGAGCATTAGTCAATTTATATCAGCTTATCTTAGCTCCTGTAAGATGTTCCAAAAGAATCAATGTTTAATGTCTTGCTGACCAACCACCCCCCCCCATTGAAAAAATAGTCCGGTCCCCCCCCTCCCCCCCCCCCCGAAAGTCTTATAGAAATATTACATTAATAGGAGACAAGAAAAAAACAAGGATTCAACAAGAATGGTACTCATGATTTTATAATTTAATAATCATTGGATCATGTGACATTTTACATAATTACACTTACCATACTTTTCAGCATAGACAAACACATTCTTGCTATGTCTCCACACAAGCAACAGATGGAATAAATACACTGAAGTGTGTATCATAAAATACATCAACATAAATCAAACAACCATAAACTAGACCATTAGCCAGAACTGTAATGTAAATAGATAGATCATTCGATGTCTATACAATATTGTATTCTGGAATAGCTTTTAGAGACTATTCCAGAAACACTACATATTCAGTTTGTGGGTGACGTTAATTTAGCAAAACCTCAAAAAGCTCTAAATTTTATTTTGGGGCAATGTAATTTATTTTATTATTTAGAAATACCATTACCGGTACGTAGAAATTACAGAGGGCTTGTGGTTCTGTGAAATAAATAAATGTCTAATCAAAAGAATTTCAATTAAAAATACTTAGTTAAAAATAGTCATTTAGTTAAAACTTAAATAAATGTCAATGTGTCATTTCATCAGTTGCTCTGCAAGTCTTAAAGGTAAAAATAGATAATTGAAGATTACTGAGATGAGATAAAGTAAAAAGACCTGAAACCTATTAAAGATGGAAATACTTAATTCATACATTCACACTGGTGTCATAAATCTCAAAATGTTCATCACTCCCATGAAATGTTAATGAAAAAAATATAGAAAACTAAACAAAAAGTTTATTAACAGCAAACTTTGAGAATTTATTACAAGAATTTTAACCATTTCAATCATAACAAAATAATCCATGTAATAAACTGCATTTAAGACATAATATATTTCACATAAATCTCTATGAGCATCAACTAAAGTCATGTCTTTATTGAGCTGTTCAATCATAGTCAACAGAAATGCAAAAATGTTTCTAAGAACTGTAAAGACTGACAACAGTCATAACACCTTACATATTTGGTGTTCTAAGAGATCTTGAGAGTGATGACAGAATACCTCCAAGTTCCGATGGACTGGCTCACTATTAGATAAATGTCAATGTTATGCTCTCTCTGGAGTGCATATCATACTCACTCCCATTGATCATTCCTTTAAAAAACACAAGTTTTAAAACGAACACGGTACAACCAGTCCTCATCATCTAATCTTGTAAAAGGAAACTGCATCTTACACAGTTCAAACAGTCCTACCGATCTAATCTCATAAAGGAAACGGAACCTTAACAAAAGCCTTTGGTCATAACATCTCAAACAAAAATCTTTGGTGATAAAGTGATTAAAAAAAAAAGATTTTCTCTGAAGAGATCTGAAGAGATTTGATCATCTCTTTAAAAAAATAATTAAAAAATACAAGTTTGAAATTAAAACGATGTCTTTCAATGGTGACCATCATTCAAGCAGTAATTAGGATCAACTCATCACCCAAACCATCACATAACCTTACAAAAACTGAACATCTCTTGTTGACAAACTCAGCCCACAGACATTTAGAACAACTCTCCCCAGTATGTCATACCAAGGCACAGATATAAAAAGCTTATACTTGTCTCCTCTCCAAATCTCATGTAAAACTTATCACAACAAACCCATGAACACTCCAGTAGATACAAAACTCCATTTACACAACACAATCAAGCCATTGCTACCACTCTGCATCACCGGTGGCTTTCTGGAATACAAAGTCTTTGCCGTTTAGATTCATGATGCCATCTTTTAAATGAAATTTCCACTTGTTCTTGTTTCTGTTTATCTGGAAGAAAAAAAATAGAATTAGTTTGACACCTTGAGAGAGCCAATGTAAGTGGGGCAGGATCTCCCAATTGTGGAGGCTTTACAAAAATAGTTCAAACATTTTAATATATATAACCCTTAGTTGACTCAACTCTACACTTTATCACTGGTATTTCATCCACCTCATCCACTTGATGTTAACCATCTCAGATACCTACTAATAACTAAACAATGCCCATAATACATTTGGAAACATACATGTTTACAAAAACAATAATACAATAATTCTAGAATAATTAACTTACCACAGTAACATATAAGCATATATATGGAAGAACTCTTAAAATATAATATTAAAATCAGAAGGAGAGTCATCTTCATCCATAATAACCTAATCATCAGTTTTTGTATACATTTCTGGAGATTCTATAAGTGACTATGCATCAGTTATATCATCCAAACTTGCTCATGAACTTATCAAAAATGAATTAAATGCTAAACTTCCAACTTAGCAATGAATGGCTATGCCAAACATTCAGAGTGTGGTATGGGAGTTAGGTTATGATGTGTCCTGAAGGAGCATAATGCAGCAAAATGAAATATGGTGTTTACCACCAAACAAGTGAGTAATAGCTGTATTTCTAACTTCTAAAAAAATGTACTTATTTGGCAGATTTCTCATCACAACATACCTAGACTTTATTTTAGTGATCAGAGAAAAAGAAAATACAAACTTATAGAAGACTTTGGTAAAAGTCTCTAAACTACTTCACGATATGCTTTTAAGAATCGGTAAATCCTCTTTCTTTTTTATGTGCTCCGTACAATCATAATGAAAGATTTTTGTGCACAATGACAAAGTGTTATAATCTAAAAATTCACCATGTAGGAGCCCAGACTCCTAGAGAACAATTAAAATTGCGTACAAATGAGAAATGGAAAGTTTACAAGTTTTAAGATCCTAAATCCTACAATGACTCACCTTGTCATACTGACATACAACAACATTGTCTGTATCAAACAATTCATTTGGGTCGTCTTCACTAACATCATCGTTTGAGTTCAACGGGTCCTGAAACACAAACGTACCAATGTATCTAATTAATAAAACCTTAAACGTAATTAATCCAGTCACACATCTCTACCAACAATGAGTCTATTTCTACACATGTACGCTGTTTAATATTTCATCCATGTCACTAAACTGGGAAGATAATTAAATACTCTGTAAATGTTGATATTATTTTTCTGTGACAAATTAAAAAATGTCTTAAGTCCTACATATATACACAAATTTACATAATAGGTACATGTGAATCGAGTTAGTTTGAAAGATCTCTTGTGACTAAGAGGTGTTCCAAATTTCATCTCTCACAAACTATAAATAACAAAAACATACACATCGTCCCCGTCCCCATGAATAAATAAAAAAATTGTTTTTAAAAAATCCCTAAAAATGCTCTCACTTCTTCTTCACCTGGCCCCTCCTCTTCATTTTCATCCTCTTTTTCATCATCCTCCTTGTCATCATCATCAAAATCTTCATCATCTGATGAACTAGTGTCTGCTGTACCATCCAGCTGTATTAAGTTTTGATGAACTCCCTGATAAAAGTATTTATAACATAATGACATAAAATAATAGATGTATAGGCTGTTACACTTAAACTTTTCAGGAAACTGTTACAGCTGAATTTTAAAAAGCTGCGCATTCATTAAGTATTTTTTTAAATTTTATTAATTATTGTATGTATGAAAACAAGAGGTTTGTTAGTTTACAGCGACCTCCGACCCCCCTTTGACCCCCAAATCAGTCTTTTTAAAGGGACAATGTTGAAACTGAACATAATATACCAGTATTAAAAATTTCATTTAAATATTCAATTTTAAAAGTAATTGTTAGAGCTTACTTAAAAGGATAAAACTATATAACATTACTTTACTCACCCCTTGGGCTTTATTTACTTGTGTTGGCATAATCTGACCTTGGAGCAACTTTTGCTGCTGTAGCTGCAGTTGTTGCTGTTGTGTTAACCTAATTTGTTGTTGTTGAGGTAAACGGAGTGATTGATGCTGTTGTTGGATCATCAGTTGGCCGGAATGTTGTTGAAATTGAGTCAAGTGCTGTTGAGTTGGAAGTCCCAATGCTATAAATTGACCATCACCTAAAACCAAAATGGACAGTTAGTTTCCTTTAAAATATCCATTTTGTAAGAATTTTCAGAAAAACTGTATTGAAAAATAAGATTAAATTTTCATGACCCATACTTTCAGTTTTAATACAAAAGTTGTTCCATATAATAATAATAATAATAATAATAAGTGGTCTTATATAGCGCGGTACCCCAGGCTCACCGCGCTGTAAAGTACACCACATTAAATTTTAAAATTGTTTTCAAATAAAATTCTTATCATTAATTTAACATAATCAATTCTTCTTTTTAATGGTGAAACAAAGTGGAAAATTTAGGATGCATAGACTATTTAACCCTTTATAGTCCGACGCGACCAAAAAGCGCTGATTTTTTCCTTAAGCCTACAGTCCATTGCGGCCAAAACCCGTCCGTTTTGAGGTTGTTTACTTTCGTTCTTAGCACGGCAGAAATCGATTGTGAATTAATATTTATAGTTCTACCGGAAGGAAGCCTCGTCAGCACTTATTTTGATAATATATTTTGAAATGCGGTGTGTTTAGGGGCTCATTTTCTACGACTTTTTTAAAAGTTGCGATTTTTTAAGTTAAGTCAACGAAATTGTGCAAAATACAGAGGTATACATTCATAAGTTAGACACAAAAACAAAAACATACCTGTCTGACTGACTGTAATGTTTCGTACTTGTCCATCTGGACCAACAGCTGACAACTGTTGGTGAAACATACCATGAGTTAATAGTGGCACTCCAGAATTAGTTGGTAGCTAGAACAGATATTTGAAGATTCAATAATTAGATAAATATCTTTTAACAACAAATGTAACACAATCTTTAAGCCACACACACACACATATATAATATATATTATATATAGATATATATATAATATATATATGAAAAAATTGAACTGGTCACGGTAGCAACCTGTGGGAGTGTGTTTATGGCAGAACAAAAAAATGCAACATAGCCTATCCTCCAGACCAAAGCTTTCAATATGTGGTCTTACTTTTGTGTTTCAACTGCAGAATGTTGTTGTGGCACATTAACATAATGCAAGTCTACATACCCGGTACACTAAGCTATATTGACAATTTGAAATAACTTCTAATATTTCAAGCCCATATTCGCACTTTTTAAAACACATAAATGATACATACATTGATGTTATCAACTTTTTCATACATTAGATTTCCATAATTTAAAAAAAATATATCTTCGTGAGATGTCTCATTGATGTACATTTCTTCATTTCTAGTATGGTACATCTCATGTTGTCACATGTGCACAATATGAGTTTTTTTTCCATTGCTCCTTTTTTCTTGGCCACTATTGTTATATTTTTCTAGAACATTTTTCATTTCTGGATGTATTTGGTTTCACCTTGTTATAAGGTATTTAAAATTAAAATGTAATTAAAGTTAAAATTTGATTTCCTATGCTTTTTTTAAGAAGACAGATAAGGTAAGCCTGGCAGCTAGCACGAAATGAGTTCAATTGGTAAGTGTAAAAAAAAAAATTATTTTCATCACTTGGTAGTAGTTTTAAGTACCTGATATTGTTGAGTTGACTGACTTGCTTGGTTCCCGACTGAAATAAATCATTGATTGCAATATTAGTTTATGAGAAATACTGCATATTTATATTCTCTATGACTTGAATGCTTTTATTGAAAAATTATGGTGGTGGGTATTACGAAGCATCGGTGCCAAAGTACTTTCTACTTTTACTTCCAGTTACCCCTATTCCTCCCTCTCAAATGCAAAGGAGCTGCGGTGTCAACTCTTTTTTAATAACTTTGATATGTATTACTAAAATACCCTAAATTAATAGAAAATAAATTCAGAGACCTATATAAGTATAGTTAGTCTAAAAGCAAATTGGACAAGGAATCATATGCTGGGTCCTTTTAAATATAAGTTTTTCAGACACATAAAACATTATTAATTCAGTTTAGAAAATATGATATGATTTGGGTTTATAGAGATTTACAAAAAATAATAATAATTCATCGGTGACCTACATATTTCTTTAAATAATGTTTATTGAATTCATTATTACCCTATTTTCCACTACTTCAACTATTAGAACTTGAGCTGCTACTGGTGCTAGCTACACTATCGTAATTATCACTACCATGACTGACGCCAACAAAACTATCTTTAAAAACACTTACTTAACAAATAATTAAAATTAATTATGCTTTTGTTTCGCAAGGCCAACATCTGAGCCATGCAAGTTTGTTTTAACAAAAACTCTCTCTCTATTTTTTAAAATAATTAAATTGTAAATTGTATTGACAAGGACACTAAAGTTAAGTTTAATCTAGAAATGAGTAAAAGCATGACCATAGATTAAGTGCATACTCACTTTGCTCATGCTGGTTAGTGCTCTGTATTGGCAACATTGTGGTTACATGTTGTTGTATGGGCTGCTCTTGCTCAGTTTGAGTGACCTCCAGTGCCTTAGAGGCAGCAAGCTTGGTCATCCAAAGCTAGAAAGATGGACAATTTTTTTGTTAACTAATCAGATACAGCAGAACTGGTTACACTGGAACTCCCTAAATTAACTAAATAGTACAATATAGTCTCAAAAAAGTACTTTACCTTCTCAAAACATACAATACAATACCTATTGTAATACTAAACAAATAAACATACAGTATGTCAAATTAAGGTCATTTCTCAAAGTAGATGACTGATGTTTATTTATTTATATACAAGTGCACAATTAAGATAAAAAGGTGCTCGTCATCTGCCCACTTTGATATACGAAGATGTGGAGGTGAGGGGGGGGGGTGGTGTTTGAGAGCGCTCGATGAAGTCACCCGAGCAAAAATGGTTTGAGTTTTGTGAGGAGGCTGAGCCCCTTCCATGCAAATTTTTTATTAATTCAAAATCCAGGGATGCAATTTCATGTACATCTGAATATAGTTTTGCATTAATCTACACTTAATCATAATGCTTGTGGAAAATTAGGTACCCCTTACCTAGCTGTGTTTATATAAATCAAAATCCTTTTGATTTTTAGTAGCTAGTAAATATTAAAGCTGTTTTATAATTTATTTTTTATTTTAATATATTTTTTTTCAAAAGTCTAAAAATAAGATTGAGAAAAACCGAAATGGCACATATGATGTATATATATTTCAAATGTGTGTTTATGCCAAAAATGAAACTAATCACTATTGAATTCAGAAATATTTTCATTTGTGATACATCAGGCGGGCCACAATGTATGAATTGCCCACAACAGCATTAGGCCTATAACCTGAATCTTATTTTCCAAGAATATATTATATAGTCTAAAAACTACCGCAAGCTGTATTGGGAGAAGGGAAGAGAAGTGCTAGTGTATTAAATTTTACAGCTGCTTGGTGACTTCTAAAAATTTATTTCAAATGCCACTCACTAGATCTTTATAAAATATGTCAAAACTAACGCTGATGTGTGATACGGCAGAAAATGCACTTTTTAAAATCCATAGTTTTATCTATTTTTGCAATCGCAACCGTTCAGCCGAAGAATGAAATAATTATGTCACAAAATTACTTCATACAACACCAAAGCTAACCAAAGCAAATGTTAACTAAATTTTTCAGTATGGCGAATATGCTTATTATTATGTTACTGTATCTAGCAAATTCATTGTGAACACAAAGCTACAATATGACGTATATTTCGAAAAGTAGTGGTACGTTTATTACAAAATGTAGTGGCTTTATATTATAGCTTTTAAAAATATTTAAGAGACACCCCCTCCCTCACCCAACCAGGCACTGCCAAGTCAACCCCCCCTCCCCCTTTCCTCCTGTGTATGTAATATTATGAATGGTCCACAGCCAAATTGTATTTCTCTGCCCATTTACCGACGGCTATAGAAAGGATGTAAAACTAACAACTGACAATGATTTTGTATTTATTATTGATATAGATCTAATATATAATTTTTTTTTTAAATTGTAAAAACCAAAAGAAAATACATTTTTAACCCAGTCTCATAAAAATTGTAGTTTTGACAGGTCTCTGCTTAAAATTGTAAAATACATCTCAAAATTGTACATTGTACGCCAAAATCGTCAAAGTACACTTGTAAAAAAAATACTTGTAATCTGCAGCTATTAACAGCTATTTTGTGAGTAAGCTAGTTTAACCTGGTTCTTTCTTTCTCTCATTAATAATTAGCAGTGATTGATAGATTGCCTCACCGTTTTAAGATCAGTTAGAACTTGCTCATCGACACTTTCATCCAGGAATGATTCCTTGACATTAGTGATGACATCGTCAACCACTGTCTGGTACAATTTTGACTGAAAGATTATAGAAAATAATTATTAAAAAATTATCAACCCACAGAATCTTTTGGGACAGTGTCTGAAATGTCATGATTGTATTTTCACCTTAAATCTATTACAGCTGGCACAAACAAGATATTGGTATCTAGTGAACAGCTTCACTCAAACATTCAACTTTGGGATATGCAGAGGATATATTGTATCTGGACACACACTCAGCAAAAACTACATAAGCATCATTAGGTAGGAGTTAAATGGGTAGTTATTTGTGTGGAAACTACAGGGGCACAAGGGCGTGGGAACCTTAAATGGAATTTAACAGCGGTTTTCAACGGATGTGTTGCCCAAGTCCACAGCCACAGGTGTGTTGCAAAGGTTTGATAAAAATAAAAGATCAAATATATATTTGGGGACATTTTACCTAAACATTGTAAGGAAACTATATAAACCACATATATAATAGTAAATTACAAGAATCAAACAGCACACTGCTACTCACCCCTCCCCACCCACTTAATTTGTTTAAACTTATACGATTTGTGTCAAAATATTTAACAATTAATTTTTTTAGAGTGTCATAAGAAAAAGGTTAAAACAGCTAGTCTAAGGCACTGGAAATGGTATAACATACCCCCAACTGGCAGGAAGCTAATTGAGAGATCTTATAATGGGCACTACAGGAGGATGATCAAAAATATTCCAGTCAGCCATCATAATAATACTAATCTATGTTCCCATATGCACCATTTGATGATACCCTAGTCTGCTAGTTTTATTTAACCCTATAACTATCGTAACTGCTGATCATCGGCTGTTAAACCCCTTTTTTTGGTGTCACGGTAAATATAATCCACCCCATTAAAAATGCAAATTATTTAATGTATATTGGTTAAGGGGAAATCACTCTTTATAAATGAGTTTGCATGCTATTTACATTTCTATATGTGTATCAACGTGCTTTTATCAGAGCTTCTTTTGTGATTTATCAGGTGTGAAATGTTCTCGGTTTTTTTTACTGCCATAATGTCTGATGCTGGAGAGGATCCCCCTAGATTGCAAAAACAACACAGACTTTCTTTATGGAATTATTTCAAATAGGTTAAAATGTAAGCAATGATTTCAGAGATATTCCATTTGCTAGTAATGACAGTATTAGCTCTAGCATTGATGGCAATATAAAAGAGTCAAATATTGGCAATTTTAGCCATAATTCATAAGCTAAGTTTTATTTTTTAGACCAATTCGTTTGGAAAAGGGTAAAAATCAAATAGTAAAGACAATGATTGGACCCCAAAGACATTTATGTTTGTGTATTCTGGAGTATTTTTTTTTCTCCGAATGGATATAGTAACTTCATTTTTAAAAAGAATTTTTACTTATTTCTCCCTTGTACTTTGTATGACATAAAGCTGAAGGTAGTGAATGAAAAAATAAAACAATATTCAATATATGTATCTATAATTTGACATTTTCTGGAGGAATATTGCTTCTAGAATCTCAAAAAATTTATTTCATGATAGCTTGAACAATTTGCTGCGAAATGAGCTTATACCACAGCATGTTGGGTGCATATTTCTATTAATTAAAAAGGCCAGATGCAGTGTTGCAGAACAAAATAATTGAAGACTCTAGTGCTACAACTACCCAAGTCACATTTTTATCAAAGTCAAAATAAAATGACCTTTTCTGATCCGGTTTAGCATTGTGTACTGCATTAAATTAAACACATTAAATGGTGGCTAAGTCCTTTATTTAAACAAGCCAAAAAATAAGAATTATCAAAAGGTACAAAAGGTCTCCAATTGTAAAAGGGAATTAAATTAATTTATGTCTTTACCCTCATTACCCCCAAGATTTTCAATTTTACCCCATTTGGTATAATTTACCCGATTTTCTGACCCTATATTACTATGTGGCGTCATTGAAGGGGGGGTGGGTGGGGTTGGATTCAATAAAATATATGCATGTACAAATATTCTAAATCTCCACCATTTTTTAACAAGAACAATTTTTAAGGACACATTTTAAAGTTATGATGTTGAAATTATATAGCTAAAAAAATTATAAATAATCCATGTGACTAAAGTACTCATGTACTTTGACAACAGCTCTCTGTCATTTGACTTTGAGACATTATTTTTAAATGTTAGTTATCTTATGATAATACATTCTCACCAGTTTTCTCTTCATTCTGAATATAAGTTTAAAACAAACCAAACTTCAAAAAAATGTTTGTACGATGTCTCATTTTTTACTGACTTTTGGCAACCCTGCACTGGTAACATCAAATAGAAAATTGTAAATTTGAAAGAGCTTGCTTGAGTTGTTTTTTAAAAGATATCCAAGTTAAATACAATAGCAGCATGCCAGCAGACCCGAATGTCTCAATAACAGGGTGCCGCCTGTGCTTCTAGTGTATTTTTCCATAAGTTTAGTCACGTAGCTTAAGTTTGTGACGCTTTTTTATGCACTTGTTGAGTCCTATGTTAAATCCCTTTCAATATTGTTTTAAATTAACTATAAACATATCTGGTTTTTGTAGTAATAATTTTCATTGTTTTACTTGTTCAATCTTTTTGCCCAAGGTTCTACATTCTCCAAAAATGGATCCAAAGATTGGTCAATATTTGCAATTTAATAATTCATAACTGAATGGGACTTCCTAAAATCTCTCCCAATCCTCATTATCCTTACAATTTTGGTTTCATGTAAGTGGAACTTTTCAAAAATGATATCTCTAATAATGAGATATTTGTGTTCTAATATGAAATGGTCCAGTCTTTCTGTAGGTACTTTGACACAAAATTTAAATATTGTCCAATTGCCATGAATGATACATTATTTTAAAGCTTTACACTTTACAACAACACCAATTTCATCTTTCTATCTTTTATAGAAATGGAGTTATGATTTTTTTTTGTGATTTTTAAAAACCCCCCTTCTTTATCTTAGTATTTAACTGAAAAAACGTGTGGCCCACTTTCAAAATTTCTGCCTTATTTTACCCAAAACTTTTTGATTTTAAAAGATAATGCTACCAAATTTTCAGGAGACATTATCAATGCAATATACAGTACAATAAACTACAAAAGTTTTATAACATTAAGACCTTTATTTTTTATAAATTTATTTGTGGGTAGTTCAGAAAAAAGTGAACAGACCAGAAAAAAGTGAACAGAAAAATTGGGAAAATCATTATTTATACAGGAAAAAACGAAAAAAACAAAAATGTTTATTGAATTTTAACTAATTTTATTATGCTTGTTTTAAATCAATTATTATATTTATAATAAGGTAAGTAGTCTTTTTTATTTATAAAATCGAACGGATGTAATTATAAATAAAGATTACTCAAATAAAATCATCCATGATGATAATATGATAATGATGAGACTAATTCATTCAAAAATGTTATTTGATATATTAAATAATTGTCTATGTACTGCTTTTCTATTCTATTATAATAACAGTTGTTTATAATTATAATTGATAATTGTAAGTAGGCCTAATTTTAGTAATATTCTCTGAAATAATAAGAGAAAAACGATTATTATTATCGATATTACTATTGTAAAACTATAAAATATTGATTCAATAATACTGTACACAAATTTTAATGTTAAATAAACCTTAAAACCAACCCTTGGTTACTACATAAACTTTTCAAGTTTGGTATAATCTTATCTTAAAATGATTCATTTTAAACGTCTTATAATGATTTAGATGTTTAAGAATTTAACATTAACGTATCACAGTGATAGCAGCCATTTCCGGCTTGTCGATCAAAATAAAACAATAATGATAATTTCATACCCCCCACTTCTTCGCAGGATGCATAACTTTTTATAGAGAGCTCAACGATAATAACTCAAAAAATGAAAAAAACTCTTACAATGAATGTAGATTAGGGAGCACTAAACCTTATTTTGGTGGCTTTACTAGTAAAAAAGTATTTATGTGATTTATATACTAGCGGAGTCATTTTAATAATACTGCCCGTGATGCACAAAAAATATCGTAGCATAAATCAATATATGACCGGAACACAAAAACTGATGCGTCAGTGATGAGGAAAGGAGTTATTTAATAAACAAAGGTGACGTAGTATGCAATTTTCCAATGATACCGTGTAGCTGTACGCCATATTGCAGAACACATTTTTTCGACATTTTAGGACATGGGCAGAACGGTGCATGGACAAGTATTGTTATCCCTACTTTCTGGTCTTGCTATTTTTTCAGCTGAAAGTGATAAGGTGAAGAATGCAAACTTCGTCATTGATAGGTTTGCATCTTTGAATACCAGTTTGACATGTTGACGTCAAGATTATTATTTCAATTATCAATAAAAATTAATTTTGATGCATTTTTTAAAATTGTCACCTCAGATGTTTACTTTTAATTGTTAAAAATTTGTGGTACTTTACTTTAGGAAAATAATATACTATATACTAAAAGCGATTCTGTATAATTACTATAATTTGGTTAAAAATTACAAGCTGCACGTACTTCGTGTGTATGTGGGGGGGGGGGGTTGATACCATGAGTTTACCCTACGGGGTCACACAAATCCCAGTTATGCCTCTGCAAGTACTATAGAAAGTTCAGACAGCCACTACATTTCACAAATAGTAAATAGTAGGCTGCTCAACTAATACAATACAAATAATAGTAAATAGCCTATAAATAAGTAAATTTTATTTCTAATAACATGGCCTTGACGTATTTTATCCATTCCTTGTTTGTTTTTCTCTAGGCTAATTACAATTTATATGTTCTACAACTAGTATTAATTGTACTAACAGAATAATTCATTCATTCCAACACTTGTTACTTTGTAGACCTACATGCCTCATAATAGATCAAGTACCGGGGTATTTAGAATTTAAAAATGACGTCATTAACTGTAAACAGTAGCAAGCCAAAAAAGATAATTGTTTATTTTTAAAATTTGTAATTAACATTTCATTGAACAGCGGTAGCAAAATTTGAATTTTGCCAAACACTTACCACTTGACTGGCAGTGCTCATTTTCTATATCTATATGATACGTTTAGATGCAAAATTTCTGCGTGGCGGGTTTCAAGAACCCGCAAAGTTGAGACGGTAGCCTCTTGCTTATATAGGATCTGTACGGTTTTAACGCCTATAGGGGGGTCTCGGTATTGCTAATATCGGGCTAATTGATCGAAGTCTCGTAGGATATCGCGAGAAATAAAAAACGAAAGGAGTAAATGTGTAACAACCAAACGTCTGCTTCCTGTGCTATTAAAATACAATAGCGTTATTTATTTTTTAAGAACTTCTTTTTAGGAAAGAAATGTTTTTATTTACAAATAAATGCTGCCTGAGAAAATTAACATTATTTTTATCTTTAGTTACTAAATTTTAAACTTATGCTTGATTTATTTGTGTTTTCGAATCCTGAGACATAATTATTATTATTTTTTTTAATGTTTACTCTTCAAATATGTAAGTGTAAGAGTAAGAGTAAGTGTCACTGAGAATATCTGAACTCGTACACTTAAAAATAAAGTTTATAAAGGTACATAAAAATGTATTTATTCGTTTAAAATAATATCAGATTTTCTCTCTTCAAGACTCATTTTTCCCTTGTCTCATATTTAAAAAAAACAACAAAAAACAAAAAAAACACTTGCTCTTACTAATAAAGATCAATACTCGGAGGTCGAGATTCTATCTCTTAGGACCTTTGGCCGTGAAACATAGCCTAGTAGTCCCTGGGGACTCCGGCCATGCAACTCGGCCTTGAGTAACGGGGTTTTGGGCAGGTTGCTTCCACTCATGAGAGGACAGTTTAGCGTCACAGCCCCCCTTGCCCATTGAGTCTTACGGTCGGGACGTTGGGTGGAACGGCTTTACTTCCACTCTGGAGATGGCGATGCGTTGCCACCCCCACCGCCCAGGGAGCCGTACGTTCCTTAGTGTGGCACGGTTTTGCCTCCACTCCGGGAGTAGTCAAAAGCTTAACTTTCTCCCACCGTTCCTGGGAGTTGTGTGGACATGGGTCAAAACGGCTTTACTTCCTCTCCGGGGGAGGCGTTTCGTTACCTCAACCCACCGTTCGGGGAGTGGTTCGGTCTGGACTGTGTCGGGACGGAACGATCGCCTAGGAGCGGCTTTCTCAAGGCCACATGTTTTTAATCCTCGGCAAGGGTTTTTAAAGAAACTCATGTCTCATATCCATTATCGGCGACACGTAATCATGTTAGCGCGCAACTTCCGTTGCGTAGGAAGTCATGCGTTTTGCTTGGGATTTTTTAGCTTCAGAAGGAAAACTCACCCCTTCTAGTCGGGCACGCCACGAAGAGGCAAAATCCCGTGTAACACCACTCGAGCAAGTGATGCTGGACATCGCCTTACAGAGTTCGGAGTTTCTAGTTACAATTAATAAGTCTTAATATAATTACAAAAGAAAATAAAATATAATGACAATCTTCAACTTACAGTATGGTAGATCATGTTAGAATAATGTGCCAATGAATAATGATGAAGTGCGAAATAAACACATATGAGTATGAGCACACAAATACACAAGGAATAATACACGCTTCGTAAAGTTAATAATATCTATCTGAAATCTCCGTCCCTCCGTCCGTGCCTGTCAATCCCTTATATAGGTCGCGTAAGCCCTGCCTTCCAGAAAGACGTATGACGTTTCTAGAGCAATCACATTCATTCTACAATATACTATTTGGAACAGATTAATTATTTTTAGTGGCTGGCGGCATAAACACGACAGATCAAACGACTAAGCCACACCCCTCTTTCTGCCAGTGTTTCTTTCAGGCTTCTCTCAAGGGGACGTGCGCCCCCCCCCCCCCCCGCAAAGTATAAAAAAAAAAAAAAAAAAAATATATTTTATTTTAAAAAACATATTAAATTGTCATTTTCATAGTAATTTAATAAATTAAATGATACGAACTAGTGCCATATCGATTACTTGGGAACCTTTGAAGTATCGCTACGCTCGATATAATTGATGTAGCGTATATTCAAGGCTAATCTTGTTAGAGCAGTGGTTCTCAACATTCCTAATGCCACGACTCTTTATTACAATTTCTCATGTTGTGGTGACCCCCCAACCATAAAATTATTTTCGTTGCTACTTCATAAATGTGTTTTCCTTCTTCCACGACCCTTGTGTAAGGGTCATTCGACCCCAAAAGGGGGGGGGGTGGGGGGGGGTTAACTTCACAGTTTAAAGCAGGCCTGCACAACATACGGCCCGCCAGCACCCACTTGGCGGCCTGCGAAGTAACGAAATATTCTTTATTTTTGCTATTTTTAAAATAGCTTTCGCCCGCACAAGTTTTTCATTAAGTATTACGGCCCACCTTACATTTTGAGTTGCGCAGGCCTGGCGTTAAGGACTTGAATAACACTGTTTTTCTTAACTACCTTTACCTCAGTAGAATGGTCTAGAATGTTAATAGCGTCCTTGTTAAGTAGACCCAAAAAACATGTGCAATCTGTTTTCAAATTATATTTCACCATAAAAGCATGACTTTTAATGTGGGGATTTAAAGTTACTTAGAAAGTGACCTCATGCTTTTAACAAGTTAGTTATCAAAATTTTTTAATATAAGCCTACTCGACTCCATGTATGTTGAGCTAGCTAATATAAACAATTATTTGATTATTATTTTTTAAAAATTTAAATAATTACAAGAAAAATTTAACGGACTTTTCAAAATAGTTCAGGTTTCACCAATTGTTATTAAAGCGGGATTTTCTTTTGTAACAGTTTCCTGAATAACATTGGGTTTCAAAGAAAATACTTAGCTTCTGTTTATGAAATTTCAAACTGATTTTCTTTCTTTAATATCAGAATAATGAACAAGATGCCCCACCTATCTAAAAATTAGATAAAAATGTAGAAGAAAGCTAAAAAAAATAAAATAAAAACCTTTAAAAAAAAAAGAAGAATTTCGATGACCATACCAATTAATTTCATTTTATTTACTAGTTTTAAAAATATTCTTTCTCAATCGTCAATTTGAAATAAATTCTATGGATGTCGTAAAACAAAAATGTATATCAAAGCGGCATGTTGGAATGTATCTGAAGAAAGTTCAAGTCGTTTAAAATTCAGCTGAAAGCTGGGCAATTTTACGACATTTTTGTAAGACTTCTCACAGATAAATGAACACATTAATAACTATATGAATGAAGTCTTAAGTAAACATCTGCTGTCTTTGTAACATAATTATGCCGTTCACATGCGACTTATAAAAATGAAATCAAAGCCCGGAGATGGGAGTCCCAAGGCGGATAACATTGGTGCAATGAAACATTCCGACAACTCCTGCGACGTCACCGGTGCCAAGCTGTATCATCCACATGATGTTCCCTTTGGGTCATCCAGCGGCGTGGAGAGAGAGGCGAGGTCGACGCTGCGCAACTCTTCCTCACTTGAAAAAACAACCCGCGCACGTCATCAGTCATCAGTCATCCAACACCGGATGACTCGATGGTCCTTAGCGATTTTCGACGGACGAACAACATAAAAAATGACCAGTTTTAAAAAGCCATAAAAATGTATAGACCATTCTACAAAATGTTATTTTTTTCCCTTTCTTTTTGACTCATGTAAAACTTGGAAATATTGCAAAAAAATGTATTTATTGTACGTATATTTTTTCCCATTGTGTTCAACGTATCAAATAATGTGAGCAGTGCTTTTTTTTTTTTTTTTTTTTTTTTTTTTTTTATTTTTTTTTTTTTTTTTTTTTTTTTTTTTTTTTTAAAAAAAAAAAAACAACATTTAGTAATTAAGTGGTTTACTCTAAAAATAGTTTTAATAAAAGATAAAAACCACATTTCTATTTGGTAATTAAAAAAAAAATATTTGTATTACGTAACTAGGTCAAGCAGAGCCGGCGCTTGACTTTTCGAGGCCCCCTGCCACTTTTCAGTTTGGTCCTTCGACCATCCTGCATTTAAAAGTGTCGGATGGCAACTTTAAGCCCCTAAATTATCCGTGGCCCTATGCAGCCGCAGAGGTTGCACAGCCCATCCGATGGCTCTGAGGTAAAGTGAAAACTAAATTTTTAACTAGCCTATCTTCCGTTGCTCTCCGATTAAGTGTGCCATGGTGCAAAACTAAATTTAGATATGTGCTAAAATACATTCTTGCATTTTAATGAGTTTTTTTTTTAATCTGTGGACTATAAATATTTAAGTTGTGAGACTAAAGTAGGACAAAACATCGTGTTGACACAATACAATAATTTTTGTTCAAGTTCAGAAATAATATTGTTCAGTATTCTAAGTATATTATTCATAATATGGGCCCCAGAATGGCATCTAGTTATACCAAAATAGAACACATGACTTGTCTTATTACACTGGTGCACTAGCGTAGAAAAGGAGGGGTGGGGGGTCTGCCCCGGACGTCACTTTTTTCTGCACATTTTTTGTGGTGGCAGGGTGGTAAAAAATATTGGATCGCGGCGGGCGGCAATAACCCTGGCTACGCCACTGCATTTTTAACATGGCCAACGTTAGGATGGAGAAGGATCAAGTTAAAAGGGGTCTAACTACATAACCCTTTGAAGGCACATGGCGATTTTACTTGATTCTTTCCCTTTCTACTGTGTCAGACTGTGCTCCTCAAACTTGAGTCGTTGTCTATTTTATTTTCGTTGACAATGGGCCGCGGACATGATTCACATTCAACTGAGCTGAAATTCTGATTGGAATCAGACTATAGGTCATTTAATTGTAAACTAACTAATACAAGGATGCTAAATTCATTTTAAACTAACTAATAATAGTAATATAGAAATATGACAAATTCATTTTAAACTAACTAATATAGGTATATGACTTATAATGTTAGAAGAAATCACATTTGATTAAGATTGAACTTTGATACAAATAATGCAGAATATTTGAATGGCAGATTTTCTTGGTTTGAATTCGAACCTTCGTCAGCCTCAACCGCCTATTTTTCAGTGATGTCTAGATGTGTTCACTGATGTCTAGATATGTGTTCACTGATGTCTAGATATGTGTTCACTGATGTCTAGATATGTGTTCACTGATGTCTAGATATGTGTTCACTGATGTCTAGATATAGGTTCACTGATGTCTAAATATGTGTTCACTGATGCATAGATATGTGTTCACTGATG